CCGCTTTAAATCTGGTCACTTTATCCTAAGAGAGGTTTTGTCCGTGTTTGACGCACAGATGAAGACGCGGGGTTCGGACATTCAGGTATTCTATTGCCGGATCCCATGGACTTGTCTTAACTGGCCAGCGAGGAGCCAGGTTTCTACCCACACTCCTTGAACAGCTAACACAACAGCAGAGGCCTGGCGGGCGCTGACCACAAAGAGCAGCAGGTAGACAGCCCAGGCAGGGGATGGAATCTTAGGGCGGGTTGTACATGAGACTTTGGCGGAGGCCAGCACCAAACAGGCCTCCCTCCAGGGCCTGCCCACATTTCAAAGCCAGAGCTTGATCTAATGCATCGACTGGAACCACCCTGGGACCAGGGTCCCCAAGAACTGTGCTCTCATAGGCTGCGCCCACTCCCAGCCACTGGGTGTCGCATGGCTCTGACTGAAGGAGTCCAGGCCTTCTGCTTCCCAAATGGGGCAGGGTGAGCTCCTGGCCCCCCTGCCACCTGTCACTGCTCTTCTCAGCCTGGCCCCACAGCCACTGGCCCCACTCCCTGCAGACTTTCTGGGGCTGTAAAAGAGATGGTGCAGACTAGCTGACTCGGAAGAGCGGCTTTCCACCCTGTTCAAGGGGTGTTCAGGTCAGCAGTGAGTACTGGCAGCTGGGAGTGAACTGGGGCTGTCACCGCTGCAGGCCCTCTCCCGTGAAGCCCTATCTATCTCTATAATGCTAGAAAGGGCTAGAAGCCTTCAGCCAGTAACCAAACACCAAAGCAAAGCCCTGTCTTTAGCCAAGAAGCGGCTGGTGGGTTGGGTGCACACTGCTGACTTGGGCAGGCCTACAACTGACCCATCACAGGACTCCTATCAGGCAGTAAAGGGCTTGGGATTTTCTAAGACTCGGACAGACAGTTAACCTGGGTCTTGAAACTGTTGCCCATCCAGTCCCACTGGGTGGGTGTCGACTTTGATCGGCAGAGGCTTTATGTGGACTTAGATCCGCTGTGAGTCAGAATCAACTTTCAAAGGCTGTACTCCTTGAACCAAAAGCTCCTGGGCTCAGGTTCCGTTGTCTGTGTCCACTCTTGTAAAGGGACGCTGGTGGTGCCCTGGGTAACTCATGGGGCTGCTAGCCACTGGGTCAGCAGTTCCAAACGTGAGCTGCTCCCAGGAAGAAGATGGGCATCACTAAAGTTACAGTGTCGGAACCCCTCTGTCCTACATGGTCGCTGGGATAGCAGAGTTTGGTTTGGGCTGGAGAGTGGCTGTACCCACACGCCCTGCATCTCGGACAGCACAGAGATTGGCACAGGTCAGTCCGTTCAGCCACCTCCCACTGACTGCGCAGTGCAGACGCTGGGGTCCCCTAGGCTGTGTGTCCACCTGCACACTACACTTCACGTCAAGAGCCAGGGCATCAGTACACGTGGGGCGCAGTGACTGGGAAACCGAGGCCGGGCATTTCATGCGGTAGGGTACAGTACCGGTGGGCAGCAGGGGCTCCAGCGGGGTGAAGGCGTGCTCCATGGGGGTGGGGGACTACTGGACTCTGCGTGGGAGAAACAGACAGTTAGAGCCCTAGGACCAACACTGGGCCCCGCCCACCATGCCCAGGGTGCAGGTCATGGGGGTAGAGTGCAGAGATCACAGAGGTAGGGTGCAGGTCATGGGGATTGGGTGCCATCACTGGGAGAAGGGATGGGGGGAAGGTGGGAGGATGCTGGGAAGGTACAAGGGTGTGGGGGCATGTGGGGGAGGGGTGTTAGGGGTGCGGGAGAGCATGTAAGGGGACACGCATGGGGACCTGGGGGTGGTGAGAATCCAGAAGGGGTCTCTCGAAGAACGCAGGGGAACACTGGGTGCGCGCTAGGGAGGCCAGGTCACCTGGGGGAAGGATGCCAGGGAACTTCCTTCCACTAGGGGGAACCCAGGGCTATCAAGTAGCACGGGGGTGAGATAGTGTGCCGGGGACCTCGGGCAGCTCTGGGGGAAGTCGAGAGCATGCAATCCAGAAGATGAGTCCTGGAAGAGGTGCTGGGGGCGCCCTGAGGATGTTGTGGACCCTGAAACGCTGGGGCGCCCTGGGGATGGGGGGTGCGCGCTAAGGATTCGGGACCTCCACCTCGCGGGTGCGCGCGGGGGTGTGAGCAAGGTGGGTTCCAGGGCTCGCGGGGCCACCCCGACCCCGCGGTCGCCTCCATCCGGGAACCGAGCCGACGGAAGCGGCCACGACATCGCTCCCCCCGCTCCCCCTGCTCCAGCGGCCCGGGCACCTGCGATGGCGCGCGGAGCCGCACGGGAAAGCGCGAGCACGATCGGCCGCTAGGCGCTCGACTGAGGATCCTAGATGGGGCGACCCGCGCTCATAAGGACGAACGGGAGGCCCCGCCCCTGCGGCCCCGCCCCTTTCGCGAGCCGCTCCGCGGGGCGGGCTCAGGAGATGGGCGGTTCTACCTGAGCTATCGCGAGAGCCGAGGCTCGGAGAAGAGGCCGTGGCTTCCGGCCGCGCTTGTCCTCTGCGCTCTGTCACCCAGTGCCGGTCCCTACGCCCATCACAGGCTTCCCCCGGCCGGTGGCAGGGCGCCCCTGCATACGAGGTGCCTCGGAGACAAGGCCTGGCAATCGGGTCCCAGCCTTTCCGCGTCAAAGGAAGCCCGCTGCCCCCAGGGACTGGCTCCGCGCGCCGTCAGGCCGCAGACTGCGGGGCGTTGCCCGGGAGCAGCAGCTGCTGGGTTTAGGAGCTTACGACCCGGGGCGGACTCCACTTCTTGACCGGAGTCTGGAGTCCATGTTAAATTTTAACAGCTGCCCTTTCAGACAGCAACTCCTCCAGCTCAGGAACTAACCCAACCCTTGACCCAAAGGACCCCTTGCCTTTTTCTGAGGTCGGGCAGGTGCCGGGTGCCTACCCTCTGCGGTGACACAGTTGGGAGGCCGTGCGCTTAAACCCGAAAGACCTAGATGCAGTGTTAGGGGTGAATCTGCACAAGGAGCCCCCGGACAGGTATAATGGCGGAAGCAACGCGGCTAGCAGGTTCCAGAGGAGGGGCCGGGGACACACAGCTTTCACATCCCGTCATCCTGTGATACACGGACACTCACGTGTACATGCAATAATGTAACCCTCGATCCGCTCGATGGCAGTGAGTTTGGTTTAATTCAGAATGGTGTCCGGTCCAGGAGCCCTGGTGATGTAGTGGTAACTGGTTGGGCTGTTAAACGCCAGGTCGGTGGCAAGGTGAGCAGTTTGAAACCGCCAGCCACTCCGAGAAAGACACGGTTCTGCTACTGTTAAGAGTTACAGTCTCAAAGGCACAGGGGCAGTTCCCCAAAACTCAGTCACTACCATCGGGTCTATTCCGATTCTCAGGGTCTACAGGACAGAGTAGAACTGTCCCTGTGGGTTTGAGATGGGAACTCTGTAAGGGAGTAGAAAGCCCCTTCTTTCTCCCATGGAGCAGCTGTTTGATTCAAACCGATGGCTTTGTGGTTAGCAGCCCAACCCATAACCATCAGGGTCCCTGGGGTCACTGAGTCAGGATCGCCTGGGTGGCAGTTGTTTGGTTTTTTTTATTTGTTTCTGGTTTAATTCCCGTTGTTTTTTTTTTTTAGGATCAGTGCAGGATCAGGGCTGGTGGTGAGTCTTAGAAAGAACTGAGGTAGAATGGTTAAACTGCCCAGAAGCTTTGGAGATGCAAACACTCATTGTAATTGTATGAATTAAACCCCAGCTGATAAACCGCAGGAGGATTCACTTGGGTGGAGCTGAGAGAAACCACAACGCGGGAAGTCTGTGAGGCCTGTCTGTGAGTGGTAGCCACTCTCACAGAAGAAACAACTACTGGGCCTCCGTGGAGAGTGGCTTTGCTGGGAAACCAGGCCGTCCCTGTGTTTGTCCTGGTGTAGGGGAGGCAGGCAGGGAGGGGCCTGTTGGAATGGGACCTCTCAGTGAGGCTTCAGTGTGCAGGGGGCGTCATGGGTGTTTCTGCAGTACAGTCTGTTCCCAGGAGCCCTGAAGGTGGTCAGGGACTTGGAGGAGGGAGAGGGGGCAGGGAGGGGAGGTGGGGGAAGAGGTGAGACCAAGTCTTGGCTCAGAAGCATCTTGTCTGTGATTGCTCAGCAGGAACAAGCAGCTCAGCTAATCATTTGTGAAACAAGGAGTAGGAGTTCAGAGCGTGGGAGCCTGGTGTCCTAGCGGGTGTAGCCTTGGGCTGCTCACTACAAGGCCAGCAGTTCAAACTCACCAGCAGTTCGGAAGGAGAACAATGGGTCTTTCTGCTCCCGGGATGATGGATGGCTGTAGGAATCCTGTGGACTGTTCTACTCAGCTGAGAATCAAACCGACTCAGTGGCCATGGATTTGGGATGGGCTCAGTTGGGTTTGGTGTCTGATGGCTCCATGTTTAAAGCGCTTGACTGCTAACAGAACCGTTGGCAGTTTGATCCCGCCAGCCACTCTGGGAGAAAGATCACAGGCTTGGAAACCCTCGGGGACATTTCTCCTCTGTCACGTGGGGTTGCCTTGAGTTAGAATGGACTCATTCAACAACAAGTACACATTGTGTTTCCATTAGGTCTGGTAGAGAGTTTTCCAGTCTGGCTTCAATCTCACTGCAACTCACAGGGTCCCTGCAGGACAGGGCAGAACTACCTCCCTGGGTTTCTGAGGCTGTAACCCAGCGGTTCTCAACCTGTGGGTCGCTACCCCTTTGGGTGGGGGGTGTGTCGAACGACCGTTTTACAGGGGTTGCTTAAGACCATCAGAAAACACATATTTCCGATGGTCTTAGGAACAGAGACACTGCTCTTCTGTATGTCTCCAGGCGGGTCTGCCCACATGCAAATACACCCACCTACGAATCCCCGGCATGAAGACTGTTTGTTACCCATGCTGCCCCATGCTTCAAGACAAAATCTCATTTTTTTGTCATAGGAATAAATATTTTACAATATATAATTACATATTGTTTTTATATTGAATCACTATGCTTTAATTATGTTCAGTTTGTAACAATGAAAATACATCTTGCAAATCAGATATTTACATGATGATTCATAACAGTAGCAAAATTACAGTTAGAGGTAGCAACAAAAATAATTTTATGGTCGTGGGTCACCACAACATTGGGAACTGTACTAAAGGGTCGTGGCATTAGGAAGGTTGAGAACCACTGCTGTAACCAGAGGAAAAAGCCTCATCTTTTGCCAATGGAGCGGCTGGTGGTTTCAAACTGCTGACCTTGGAGTTAGCAAGGCAATGTGTAACCCACTGCACCAAAACTAAAGAGTGTTGTCTGTCAAGACAGCCCTGCTGGCCACATAGTGGTTCAAACCCACCACTCGCTCCTTGGAAGAACGATGAGGCAGACTCCTTCGATGCCGTCTGGGACAGTTCTACTCAGTCCTACCGGGTCCCTGTGAGTCACGAGTGTTCCAGAGCCAAGGTGGCTGGCCTTGGTCAGCCAGGGGCATCTGTGGCTCTCATCTGAGTCTTGGAGAAAGACGGTTCTTTGCCGTAAGCTGCTTACCTGAGCACACGCAGCGGAGCACTTCTTGACCCATGGCCGTGCCCAGGTCCCAGGGTGGAGATAAAGGTCAGCATCATACAGGAGACGTAGATGAGGAGGTGGAAATGCAGGTGACCAGAAACACCCCCAGAGATGGTCCAGAAGATCGAGTTGAGGCCGGAAGAGTTAGGGATAGGATTCCTCAGAGCCCAGGAAAGCCAGAGACCCGCAAGGATGGCAAGTGCCAAGGACAGTCAAGTGGGGAGCGCACAGTGGGGACTTTCTATGGTCACATGGTATTGAACGTGCAAAAAGCCAGCCAGTGGCTGGATGAGAGAAAAGGGAGTGAAAAATACCCACCAGAATGTGGGTGGGTTTCAGCAAAACAACGGATGAGCTGGCTGTCAGAGGAAAGTGCAACACATTTTAGAGTTGTCAGAGCATAGTGCAATTCAGTTAGGGGACAATAATGAGGTAGCTTTAACATTCTCGATCCGTTGGGTTCTTAAGAAAATTCTTCCAATAACTCATCGGTTAATGACAACATCATTGTGTCAAGTTACTTGGATCTAAAAAGCAAGAGAATGATTTCATATCAACTCATACCTCGGGCAATTCAGACCCACCCTTTCAGTAAGGACAGCCTGATGAAACGATATATGATCTACTCATCATAAATCTGATATGATTCTCCATCCATCCATCCACCTACCCACTCGGTCACCCATCCATCCATTCGTTATCTGTATACCAGTCCTTAGAGAAGGACATCATGTTTTAGGAAAGTAGAGTTGGTTCTGATCCATCCTGACCCTCTGTGCAACAGAATGAAATAGTGCCCGGTCCTGGGCCATCCTCACAATTGTTCCCAAGTTGTCTCCCTCAAATATATGCCAAACTTAGCTACTTGCTACACATGGCAAATGACTACGCTTGGAAGTCAGAGGTTATTCTCCCTCAGGACTGTCAGCCATCTCAAGCAATCAGATTGTATAGTCTGTCCCACCCTAAGTAGGGCCCACTCCCTTCTGATAAGGATCATAGTAGATTGTTTGCCTGAAGGAGAGCCCAGGGAGGTCAAGCCTACTACCGTGTTTCCCTGAAAGTAAGACATCCCCCGAAAATAAGACCTACTTACAGTTTTGCCTATCGCTGAAATATAAGGCATCCCCC